TTCAATGCGAAGGTCTGCCATCTTGGGCAATAGTCGGTCAACCGCAAGAGTTCCAAGAAAGGGGTGACAAAACACTTCCTTCTGGACAACCTTTTGTAGTTGCAACCTCAATCGAAGTTTGAAACAGCGCTATTTTTGCCTTTTTGTTTGAGAACATCGACTTCACCCATCTGATGGTTGTGAGGTCAACATTTTTAGTTGTCAGGCCCCCAATCAGCAGTGATGAGGGCTACTGTCGAAGGTGCCCCCGATATCTAGAAAGGCACAAACAGCTATTTCTTTATCCTCCAGTGCTTTTTCGATACTGTCAATAACACTGATCAAGGCTATTTCCGTAGATTTGCCTCTGTGGTAAGCATGCTGGTTGTAATGTATAGGCCTCGTAGCTAGAGCTAGATTTTATATCTATCTATAACTTTTTTGAGTGTCTTAAGAAGAAAGGAAGATTAGCTTATAGGTCTAAAGGACTTTGGTAAAACGTAATCCTTCCTACCAGCCTTAAGTATAAATAGAACTTAGACAGTTGTAAATCGTTCTGGAATCACTCTAAAAATTTTTACCAGATAAGGAAGAAGGATATCGATATCCCTCTGTAGTTAGATGGGAATTATTCCATCCTCACCGTTTGTCTTATATAGTTTAAAGGAGTCAACAGCCCACTGCACTAGATTCGGCCTTACTATCTTTGCAGCCTTTCACCTCCTCATTACAAGGCCTTTGTAGGGCTCTGAAAGAGTCTTATGTGACCCTGTGATATGGGTTGACGCTAGTAACTCCAATATTTCTACTTCTGATAGTTTCCTGGTCTTTTCCCTAAGCTCTTTTAGCTTCGTGTTCCACCAAGGAACTTTTCATGTTGAGGTCTTGGTTTTGACGGGACAGCTGTCCTCGAAGGCTTCATGGATACCTATGGTTACTGTCTCCGTCGCTAACTAGACCTTCAATCGTTTTGATGCTCTTATGAAACGTTTCCAAATTCCTCCTTAGTCCTTAGGCTATCTCTGTACACAAGGTAGTACGGTGGTGGTGTAGCAAAGATTATACCTAGGTAACACTTCTTGCCTAGCTCGAGTTACAAAGGTTAGTGTATACCCTAAGTTTAGGCTTACCAGGCAGTAGGAGATGAGAGTCATAAAGTAAATCACTTCTTTCGTTGATGTTAGTGCTCCGCCAGGCTGTATGGTGAGCATTAGCATCACAACCCACCACAAGTTCGGGTTTGTGTTCGAGCAAACTCCGCCACTCGCTCTAACTCGATGGTAGGATCTGAGTTCTCTCCGGAAAAATAAAAGCTAATGATTACTCTGATCCCTGTGCATCCCTTGAAATTTATGAAGGCTGTAACCAGATCATCATTGCAGTACTCTGTAACAACTAAAAGTTCAATGTCTTTATTATAAATTATACAAGCTCTGGGTCTGCTGCTTTTGGTATTAACTAGGATCTTACCAGCAGCCGGCAATCCCAAAACTTGACCGTTAGCCACCCAAGGCTCTTGAGGGCGAGGTCAATGTTGTCCTCAGCAAAGCAAACCTCCACTACGGCAGAAGCAGCTGCTGTATGGTGAAGATTTGCCTTGAGGACCCTCGTCTTATCCTTGGGGTAAGAGCCATTTATAGGCGTAGGAGCCAGGAGTCATTTTCGGATGCTGAGGACGAGGACGTCCTTTGCTGGCACTCTTGACGGCCACCACACCTTACCTTCTGCCGATTCCACCTCCCTTTCCCTTACCCTTTTCCGACACCGGCGGCGTTTTCAGTCACTCTCACTCCACGAGGTGGAGGGCTGGGGGGATTGAAGTTAGGGCAGTTCAGGCTCCATAACCGCGTCAGAGCCGGCCCTGATCTTAAAAGTTATCATCTTAAAACCAAGGACGACTCTGCTGCCTGTCGTAAGGAGAGCCTCCGCCGATGCCTCCGCCATCCCCATCCCTATGGTGGAGAATTTTCCAGAGCTCGGTATGGAGCCCTTCATTTTTTGCCCTCAGTGGAGCTTATTGCCTCTTCTGGCTTCGCTTCGCTGTGGGGCAAATATGCGATACCCAGTTGAGATTAAGGCAGTTTGCCTTGAGGTATTGTTTGAGATTCAGAGCTCTGCTTCCGGCCAGGCTTTCAGTATTTCGACTTCACCCACATCCATTCCTGGCTTGCCTTATTCAGGCACGTTACCTGAATCCAACTTGGCTTGTGCGTGAAACCCGAAAATTTTGGTTCTACTCCTGGCTGCGCCCCACAGGCTGCTTAGCGATAGACTGCGTTGTAGTGTGTAGTGCCCGGTGGACCAGCCGCATCTGCTCTCCTCTCGACTGAGACCAACGACTCCTTAGACCAACTGTGTTTTTTCGCCTTTGGAACCGAGGGAGATTTGGGCAAAGGAATCTCTTCCCAGGGCTTCTGACAAAGAGAGAGGTCCTCTTCGGCTCCTATCTCAGCTGCTATCAGCCTCCTGTACATCTTCCATGCTGCCCCACTAAGCTTGTAAAGCCCAGCAAACTTTTTCTTGCCCCTTCCCTGGTTAGTTTTCGATTGTGGTTCTGCTGCAGACGTGTCCTCCACTTCACGGCTCGTCCGGGGCTGGGGCGTTGTGTTGCAGGGTGTAGGTGAGGCTAAAAAAGCCTCTTCCAGACCTACAGACAGTTTCATTAAAGGTGAATTTAGTTTTTCAAAATGTCAAAATGTTTTTGTCCACTTTGGTGCCACGATTAGCTAGGGAAATATTCGATCAACCCCGGCAGATCGCCGTATGCCTAGGGACTACAATACTACCAGAATTTTATTGCCCTAGTCTCGGGTAAGCACCGTTTGCGACTAGACTCCCCCTCCCCCTCGCCACTCATCCATCGGCACGGTACATTTAACACCTTGAATTGGGTTAGGATAGAAAAAACGGAGTAGAATAAAAGAAAAAAAGGAGAGATGAGAACTAGGAGTAAATTAATTCCGCCCTGCCGCACCCTTATAAGGAAACCTAGATTCCTTGCGGCCATTTTGTCCCTAGACTCAACAAACAGCCTATATTCAGAGAAATCTTAACCCCTTGCAACTGAAATCGGTCAGCGTACTCCAAAAATAATTCCCAGAAAGTAATGTTGTAGTGACACGCTTGTTTTTGAAGTGTTGAAACTCACAATATTAGCTTCACCCCATTCGGAAACTACCTGCAATGAGATTCGCACGCTCAACCATTGCTTCTATATCAGATTAAATTTGATACCAACTGGTCCAAGAATTCGGTAGACATCACTCCACAACTGCGCTGTCGTCTGTACATATCTCAGGTGTAAATGATGATAATAACGATTTCAAACTAAGATTTTTGCCAGATGAGAAAGCCAAAATATCCAGAGGAAATCTCTAAATGTCGAGATTTTGTCGGGGCAAATAACTTAAATAAAAATATTGTTTTATAAATCACTTCACTTAAAAATGTTAAATATATTAAGTAAAAAGATTGGAGATTAATCAAGCTCTTTTAAATATTTAACTCAATATTACAACTAAGAGCTCTATAGTCAACCAAATCTAAGAAATACATTTTGACAGCTGTCAGACTTATTGCACCAAGCATGCCAACCAAAACATGGAAACGTACAATATTCGATTCTTAAAAAATTGATATCGATTATTTAGAGTTGGTAATAACTTACAGTTTGGTTTGAATAATACTAGAACAAATTAAAACCGCATAACAAGACAAGATTTATTAGTTTCTTCGTATTTGTTGTTACTGCTTATTTTTAGAGGCATAATTACAAAAATTTAAAATTGAAACTAGATTAAAAATAAATTTATTCAATCACTTTACATACAACTAGTTGAGCTGACGTTGTTTAGATTAATTATTAGTTGATTTTCAATAATGCAGTCAAAATTAATGTCTCTTTCAAAGTCATCCGTAATCAATTTTTTTGTTTTTTCTACAACTTTTGCCCAATCATCATTTGTGATATGGGCACATGCTTCAACAAATATAGAAGAAACAGTCCAAAAAGTTAAAGCCGAGTCACAAAATAAGAAAACAAACACAAAATCACAAAATTAAAGCTAAGCTAGTAAGCTCCCGAATTGGCAGGAGATTGAAATTAGGTGTTTTCAGCGCGGCCTTGTATATGATTTTTTTAGCCTAAACAAATCTACGTTGACAAAATAAAAAAACATAAACTTGTTTTATTTATTATTTATGTAATTTAAGGAATTTCAAAAATAAAAATTTAATTAAACAAATAATATAAAAATAATGCTTCGATTATTTAAATATTTTTACCGATTAATTGAATATTTTTGCCGATTATTCGCATAACAATAAATTTTAATCATCCAAACACTACGGTAAGGTACATAGCGACACATCATTGAAACGACGTCAAGTAAAAAAGTTGATACTGGTTAGTTTTTTAATATTTTGCTATGTTTGAAAGATTTGAATTTAAATTTATTTTATTACTAATTAGTTGTAAAAAATATACACGTTGTAATGAAATATACGACAACTTCATAATTCTTCGGATTTACGTAAAAGGTTATTTTAAATCGTGTGAGTACACTAGTGCAAGCGTTAACCACTGAGCCCTGGTAGCTCAGTGGTTAACGCTCGCTGTAAATATAACAGAACGCGAGTAACCCGGGTTCGATTCCCGCCGACACCAATGAAATTGTTAATTGCAATTTTAAGTGCTGATTTACCACGTGCTCGGCAGTGAAGGAAAACATCGTGAGGAAACCTGCATGTCTGAGGAATAAGAAAAAAAAATATTTCGAAGACATGTGAAGTTCGTCAACACGCATTTGGGCAGCGCGGCGGACACTTCCTTGACCTAAACCCTCTCAGAAATGAGGGGAGGCCTGAGCCCAGCAGTGGGACGTATATAGGCTGTAACTTTACTTTACTTTTACACTAGTGCAAAGTTATTGCGGAATGATTAATGCAAGACCTCAAAAGGTATTTCTTAGATTTGGTTGACTATAATTAAATAAAAATAGAAGCACTTTCACACGCAATAACTACCGTGATACGTGAAGTACGTCGTCATACCTAGAGCTGCTAGCTGATTTGCAGTTCTCACACTCGTTTCGATAATCGTCGGCGTCTTCATTTCCTGGGGCATTGGTCCCGTCATAACTGCAGACGCATGATGGCTAGAAAAAATACCATTATACTATATTACACTATATCAATGTGAAACTATCTGCTTCTATGACCCGATCGAAACTTAAAAGCTTTTGTTTACACGTAGTATGGGTGCGACCTAAGTATTTGCAGTAGTGTGCTATAAACGGTGTGGAGAGGAATGAATCAAATATTTCTTAAAGGCCTTTCTTTCGGATCCGGCTGAAGTTGAAGGCATACAAGACATAATTCATACAGGAGCGAAGTCCAACACAACTTTAGATCGGGTGTGCAGCGTTGGCAAACCATTGTTATGACAAAAAATCAGTAACATACAAATGTGCACAGCTCCATACAAAATGTTTCACTACAGGAGGGCCTGTTTCTTAATAGATTTTAAGTTTATTATTTCTTCTAAAGATAAAGAAAATACAACAGAAACCGATGACAAACTTTCTTTAAATTAGAGAGCTCGGCTTTAAGTTCGGCAAATATTTTAATTGGTTGTATGACAACACAAGTCGCTGCTTTTAGCTGTTCTCTTTCTTGGTCTACCTCTTCCTCTTTTAGCCTTTATCTTTCCTTCGAATACGTTCTCAATGATATTGTGGTAACATAAACATAAGATTACACAACACATAAATTAATAACAATTTTAAACAAAATAAATATCAGGCAATTGTAATTTATTGTGATTTTTGCACACTTACATAACACAACACTCCTTTACACGCGCCCTATATAGTCACACGATTACACGCGCAGGGAACAATTGTGGTCCAAAATATTATGACTTTGTTTATTACATAGCTATACAAATAAAATAACTAAGTTTTTATATATAATCAGTCTTTACTGACTTATCAAAATACAACTAACAAATAATCACTTCTCAACTGAAACAAAAAATAAAAAGTATTTGGCTTAATAACGAAAAAACTAAAGAAAAAAGATACTTGTGTGTAAATTAAAGGTTTTCGGCACCATTACTCATTGGGCTCTGTTACATATTTATTATAGCAACTAAGGCATATAGCAAATTTATGGTCGTTGCACACAGGCTTCTGACATTTCTAATAAGATGTTCTGGTCGAACGATCTTTGGCTCTTCCGCAGTCGTAACATCTGGCCGTTTTGGTTCTCTTCTTTGTTACGAGTACATCTTCGTCTTGAGACATAAAATCACTCTCTTTTATATCAAAAAACATCATGCTCTTTACTTGATATCACGAGGTAAGTATTTAGTCATAAATTTCTGTCGCATTTATGGCTGTATAATTTCAATAGCCACCGAACGTAAGTAGTCACGTCGAGGTATGCGTAAAAAAAACTTAAAACAAGATAAATATGCAAATAAGTTACGAACATTGTACGACTATTAAAAGAAACAATAACCGTAAGTTGTATTTTACAAATCTACACATATTATTTAACTTAATACGGAAGAATCTTCTCACTAATTTGCGTACCACTAGGTACGTATTTACACGCGTGGGGTCACGCCAGTGCCCCAGGGATGCGAAAAAACGTACACAGGACATATCCGAGCGCAGGCGCAGTCAACGCGAGACTGAAGGTCACGCGAAGATATTTGCAACAGCTACTTCAAAAATCAAAATCCTGGCGGTTAAGTTTTGTGATATACAGGTAAATATGAAAATATGCAAACTGGGGACGCCTGTGCTCCGCGCGTGTAGTGTCAGTTTGACAGTTGTATTATTATAATGCGCGCACAATATGTTACCTTGTCGACGGTGAGGGGTAGCGTGGGCTGCGGTGCGGGGGGTGCGGGAGGTGCCGGTGCAGTGGCGGCGGCGGTGGCAGTCGGTGCGGAGTGCGCGGGGGGTGAAGGGGGCGCGGTGGACGCGGCTGGCGGCGGGGCGTCGCTGTGCGCAGCTCTGGGCTTGGTCTCGCCTCCCCCCACGTTCTGCTCCTCGCTCTGGGCCCGCGACCGCGCGCTGCTCAACCGTGTGCTCCCACTGTTCAACATAATATTATACTCTTTGTAAATCTAACACGCGTTCACGCAGCTGCTTACTGCATTTGATGTGCAACAAAGGTTGCATGCATATGGTATCCAGTAAGCATATTATATGCCCGTTTCTTTCACGGTAGAGATTTCCCTTTGGTGATCTCGACCGTGAAAGAACCGGTCTTCCATAGAATTATTTCACCTCAATCGTTTCATTCATTACAGGCTATCAAAAGTCCACTGCCGAACATAAGCTGCACCCTTAGACTATATTCCTGATAGAACGTATTACAGAAGATTGAATTTCCTAAATTTGTAAAAAAAAGGTTACTTCGCCATTCCTGGATCACTGGATAACTAAGGGTCGCGGCCTCATAAACACATTTTTTCACGCCTAATGTTTCCCAATAAACCTATTTTTATACTCATACTTACTTTTTTTTTGGGTTGGGACAAATTGACAACCCTAGACAAATCCCATGAAATGTATGTATTTTTTTTTTCTTCAAAAATGAACTCTACAGCAATGAATATTAAGTTTAATTTCGTTTAAGATGTTATTCAATACTTTTGTCAATCACATGTATAAACAACTAGGTATCTATATCATTGAGAAACACAAGGCAGGCGAAGATAGGAAACAATGTCTAAGCTTCGCCTACTACATTTACATTGTTTTTTCATTCGTTTATATTTACTATTATTAAGTTTTGATGGTCTGTAGCTGTAGCCTAAGACAGGAAGAAACGGTTTTTACTGAGTGTGATCTAATATACTCCTCAATTTGAGAGCTTTTTTTTACACATTTGTCAAATATGACAAATGTGTAAAAAAAGCATGCAAAGTTAGGGGTCACGATGTTAAGTGCGGCCCGTAACCAATACTGACGAGTGGTCGAGGCCCAGGTCGACGTTGCTGACGGCCATGTTGAGGTTCCGCGGCATGCTGCGTCCCGTGTCGAGGCGCGGCTCGCCGGCGCGGTGGAACGAGCGCCGGATCTCTCCGCACAGCGATCGCTCCGCTCGACTGAAACCGGACATCGAGTCCAAGATGCTCGTGTCCAACGCTGTCGATATGCGTGGAATGGTTCTGTGCCTGTGACGACAAAATTACACTGAAAATTACTTCAATTATGAGATAGTTTAAGAGACATGTTTAGTCATCAATCATAAACTAAAGTAAAGTTACAGCCTATATACGTCCCACTGCTGGGCAAAGGCCACCCCTCATTTCTGGGAGGGATTTAGGACAAGTGTCCACCACGCTTCCCCAATGCGTGTTGGCGAACTTCACATATCTTCGAATTTTTTTTTCTTATTTCTCAGACATGCAGGATTCCTCACTATGTTTTCCTTCACCGCCGAGCACGTGGTAAATCAGCACTTAAAATTGCAATTAACAATTTCATTAGTGCCGGCGGGGATCGAATCCGGTTTGCTCGCGTACTGTGAAATTTACAGCGAGCGGTAACCATCTGAGCTACCACGGCTCAATCATAATTTCATCAATCATAATTTATTAAATATTCTGTAGTAGCTATGCTCCTTATAAGCTGTCATATTATAAAGCTTCACATCTCATAATATATTATTGTTACAGAGTTTAAAAACCTTTAATCTTGCTATACACTATAAGCTAACTAAGCTACAACTGAAAGACTCACAGAGAAGTATGCAGCGGGTGGGAGTGCGTGTAGAAGCCAGGCACATTGTGCGGACGTTCGTGTTCCGGTTCACGAAACGCGGCTGGTAATACTGGCTGACCGGGCTGGCCCAGCTGACCGGACTGACCCAGTTGAACGGGCTGAGCGGCCTGCAACCCGCGTCCACTTATCGTACCCAACGAGCCCGTTAGACGGATCGTACTCGGAAACCCCACCACTGTTGAGGACAATTCGTATAATATTTTACCAAGTCTAGTAAAAAATAACAATATGCTACAACTTTTAGAGGCGTTGTGAGAATATCGACTAACCCATATCATCCCGTGGGTGTCGTAAAGGCGAAAGTGGGTTACTGGCAACATTATCTTCCTGGTAACCACTGTAAATAATTAAAAAAAAACTGCAGATACCAAACCGCTTGACTAGCGTGGCAACAATGGCAAATGCTCCCATATGAAGCAAAATATGAGGGAGACTATGTTCAGCAGTGGACTATAGGTACATATAATTTTTTTTTAAATTGGCTATATTATATTCCTACCACCAAACATAGTGTTAGAGTGAAAACACGATAATATATGTCAATATTTTACCACTTGGTGCAAGGGGATGGTGTGGAATGATAGCCGGCTCTCGTGCATCAGGCGGATGCACGGACTGCAACAGCGGCGCGTTGTAACAGTTCTGAGTATTTGCAATCTGCAATATAGACCAGATACAAATGCAAAAGGATGACGAGTACACCGTTCACATGATAGTAAATGTATGACACAACACTTAAACAGCTGCATTTATTCTCTATTAAGAATCAAAATGCGGATTCCTAGGTACCCCTGAGGTTTCCGGTTCTTTATAGTGTTTTAAAAGTAATATTATGTGCAAGCAGTCCTTCCACGGTGGAACCAACCCAGTGAACACAGCCATAATACTCTGCAGCATTTCCATTGCACGCGTAGTGTAGATAGACCCCAGGTTCTGTGATAAAACATGCTAAATGCGGCAGCATGTTATCTTGAGCATATCTCTCGGGTTGCTATTGTGTATAGGTGTTTTTATAGGAAAAGAACAGCTAATGTCTTTTAAGGTCTTTGAAACACACAAAATTTGCCTTTATGTATTAGCTAAACATGTGCTAAATTTCATTACGCTATTATCAATTCTTACGACGATATTGACGTAAATGTTAAGATTAAGTAAACGTTCTTCTTCCCCCTCACATGAGGTAAGAGGGACAGTCATTATATTTCTTAAGATTGGAGTTTAAATTAAAATATTCTTTGCTAAATGTTCGTTAATTTGTAGGTAGAACTGCTTCGGTCAAAATTAGATCTTACAAACGATGAAATAAGGTATCGTTTGGAATGAAAAAGAAGAATAAATCAATTCGGGGTAAGAGGGACATACAGGTTCGATCAGGGGTGGCAAACTGAAAAGAAGTCGACCAGTTATATTTCTATATTTATTTATTCGTACAAACAGTAATATATCTCCCTAACTAATGATTTCTTATACTTACGCGAACACTATACATGATTAAAACTACTTTTACATCATCTCAGTCCCCCGTGACCATGGGTGCTGGAAAGCGCCCGAAACGTCGGGAATTAAAAATAAAAGTAAATAAAAAGTAAAAATAAACGCGATAAAATCCGTAAAAGTAGTTTTAATCATCTCCCTAACTAGTTTTCCCCAGTTAGTTACTCTTTAAAAATAATGGTACTTTGGATTTTAAACCTTTGCGGTCGTATACACGGTTAACATTTGTTGTTCTTGGTATATTATAAAGTTTTGATGCGGCGTATGCAGATATTGTTCCATTTTACCGCATTGAAAGCCTCACTTAATTTATCATTATCATATCTGCTTCTATTAGATTTTCTTATATATTATTTTCGCGGCATATTTTATCATATATTTATATCATTTCTGCAATAGTCAAAAATGCTATAATATAACAAACTATTACAATTAAAGAGGATGAAGTTGCGGGAAATTTCTAGTTAAGTTTTAATTTAAAACTGTAGTAGGTACAAAACAGTCAGTCAATTCTTTTCATTTAATCCACCTATAATTATAAATTATTCAAAATGTGACATGGTGTAAAAGAAACATATGTTCCTCTTTCACCGTGAATAGTGAGCCTCTTACCCCAGCTATTGTTTTTGGAGGCTTAGATTTTCAAGCGAAAGAAACTCATATTATGAGTTGTTTTTAAACTAAAATGGTAAATAAAAAGAAATAATTACAGTTTTCTCCGTATATCATTACATTCAAAATATTTCCAGCATTCTTTTTTCACCAAATTATTAGTTTGCAAAAAAAACGCGCTAACTTTGTACTAGTCGAATTCACAACTGTCAAACGTGTCTTCATTTTTTGTGGCTTCTGAGTCACCTAGCTATACCGTTCAAACTGTTTTATTGAAGAAAAGTTACTCATAACCACTACTAGTTATGATTCCTAGTCGCTCTTCCGCCGGTGTCCCTCTTACCCCACCTGTTATAAATCTAATTAAGTATAATAAGTGTGTAGCATATGTTCCCCGTATATATAGAAAATATGTGCACGTATATATATATATATATAATATATATAGTGAGAAAAATATAAAAATATATATATATTGAGCACATCTTAGCGTTTCCTGAGTGACAGTCCTCACGTACGTATAAGTAAGTAATTTGGACCATTTCCCATAAAGTTTTTTTAACTTAGCAATACACTTTGTTATATGTATTTTGTACCCATCTGCTTTGTCAAAACTATTTATTTTTCATTGAAGTGTATACTTAAGGCGCTACCTCCAGCGAACGACCTTGAGCGTTTGGTCTGTCGAAGCTCGCTACAATATATCGCGTAAGAAATCGCCAAAAGACGCCACCTACTGCTACGAACGTAGTATTATTTTTTCGATGTCAATGAACTATTCTATGGAAATAGACACGGCGTGCAATGATAAATGTATTTTAATTTTCTTTATTCGATATATTAGTTGCATTATATTAGAATTATGTATTCTAATATATTATCTAATTAATAAAAAAAGACTATTTTGATTATTTTTAACTATATACTATACTGCTAATATTGAATTAGCTTTTTATAGTGTAAATTATAATATTTGTCGAAATATTAATTATGGATTCGAACTTTACATGCTAATGGTGCTTCATTTTTGTTATTTTCATTTACTTACATATTGAAAATATACTTGAATAGTAGGTATTATTATTTTATTTAGCTTCTGAATTTTAGGATATGTTTTACCTTGAGGTCAAATATAATTTTGAGGAGCAATAGTTATTACCTACTAATCTTTTATCTGCTATTCCTTATTTAGGAACAATATTAGTAAATTGAGTTTGAGGGAGATTTACTGTTTATAATGCTACATTTATTATTTTAATATTTACCTACTGGGTATGTAATTATTACAATAATAAATATAGCATTAGTAAATAAATAGATATTTTTTTAAAATTTTTAAAATCAAAATTTTCGTATTTTTAAAAATTACTAAAAAAGGGTTTGAAATAATAGATTTTATCACAAAAGAAGAGAACTTGAAAAAAAAAGGAAAAAAAAAGCGGGACCAAAGCCAAGACGCGAACCACGGAACTCCGATATCACGCCCGACCGACATACCACCTGAGCTATAACGACCGTTAGTGATTTGTCGAAATTTACCTTCTTATATTGTAGCAGTTTTTTTATTGCCTGAAAACATGGACAAAAGGACATTTTCTAAAAATAAATCCAAGCGTTCGTCGCTAAAATCGTTGGAGCCGTATAATTTTCTCATCTGGTTCGGTTATATAAATATTTAAATATATAAAAATTATAAATTAAAATGAAAAGATAAATATACATAAATATCAATAAAATAAAATAAATACAAAATAATATTATATTATTACTGTTATTACTATTGGGATATCTGTATAGTTTTCTCATCCGGTTGGGTTCTATAAATATATTATTATAAATTAAAATGAAAAGATAAATATACATAAATATCAATAAAATAAAATAAATACAAAAAAATACACAAATAAATAAAGATCCAACCAGATGGAAGCCCTCGGCAGGGGAGACCAAACGGCCGAGGGTTAGGGGGAAAGGGAAAGAAACCGACGGACGATGCGGGCGGTATCGAGGACCACTGCCTTCTGCATTTGAGCCCGGAGCGGTCCGTCACGGAGTCCCAGTCGCCTCAGATGACCCGAGAGGCTGACTGGGATTAGCCCGTTTGCAGAGACGACTACAGGAATAATTTCGGTCGGTAGACCACCCCACATGTCGGTCACCTCGTGAGCCAGGTCCAGATATTTTGTTTGCTTATCTGTTTCGGCTTTCACGAGGTTCTCGTCATACGGAATGGTAATGTCGACCAAAAATATCCTTGACTGTGCCCGGTCCATCAGCACAATATCAGACTTATTTGCAAGAATAGTCCTGTCTGTGATGATGGCCCGATCCCAGTAGAGCCTGGCGCGGTCATTTTCGAGCACGGCTTCCGGCAAGTACTTGTAATACGACAATTTCCGGTCCACGAGACCGTATTTCAGAGCGAGCGCCTGGTGTAGAATTCTGGCTACTAGGTTGTGCCTGTGCAAGTACTCAGAGTTAGAAAGCGCCGAACAACCGGAGATGACATGTCTAAGTGACTCCCCGGGATGGCGACAAGCTCGACAGACGTCGACGGTGCCATCCTTTAGGATGTATCTCCGATAGTTGTTAGTCTTAATAACCTGATCCTGTATTGCACAGACAAAACCCTCGGTTTCCCCCGAAAAGGTCACCGAAACGCAGCCAGTTGAGGGAGGCGACTGTATCTACGAAGGGCTCATGTAGAACCCTGTAGTACCTCCCGTGGAGCTCCTTCTCCTTCCATACGGTCTCCCGGTCGGAAATGCTAAGCACTGCTGGGTCCTGCCATTGCTCATTGGCCAAGGATAGAGGGGTAAGCCCTTTATCACTAGAAATGACGTCATTATAGAATGGATCATCCGATCTCGCCAGGAAGTAATGACGGAGGCTGCACACTTCACGATTATGCATAGTGAGCGCGCTTAGAAAGCCACGCCCACCATGCTTTCGCGGCAAGTACAGCCTCATTACCGACGATCTCGGATGATGCATCCTATGGGACGTCATGGTAGTGCGGACTTTTCTATCCAGGGCGTTAAGTTCAGTCTGAGTCCACCTGAGTATGCCAAAGGTATACATAAGGACAGGCATGACCCAACCGTTATATGCGTGTGTCTTATTCACACCGGACAAAAGGCTATTAAGCACTTTGGTCAAGCGTGCATAAAACACGTCGCAAACTGACTGTTTTACACCAGCCTCATCGATACCGATGTTCTGTGACATACCCAGGTATCGGTATGTTTCAGCCTCGGAAAGGGTCCTTAAGTTGACGGGCATAGATAAATCTATGCCCTCAGAGTTAGCAACCCTTCCCCTCTCAACATGGAGGACCGCACACTTATCCGTCCCCAGCTCCATTCCAATGGAACTGCTAAACTCACAAGTGATTTTTAGCAATTCCACAAGATGGGAGCGACTGGAGGCGAATAACTTAAGGTCATCCATATAGAAAAGGTGGGTCACTTTTGTCCCTCCTTTCCGTAGCTGAAATCCTCTCCCGGATCCCTCCGGTAAGGTACTGAGAGGGTTCAGGGAGAGGCAGAACCAGATTGGACTCAGACAATCGCCCAGGAAGATACCTCTTCTTATCCTTATGTGGTTCTCCGCAGCCATCATCCGCTCACCCAGATGACAAAGGATCGTACTCCACTGCCCCATACACTGCTCGAGGAAGTCTCTCACTGTAAAGTCTATCTTGTACAGCTCGAGGACTCTCTTTAGCCATGTATGGGGCACCGAGTCGAATGCCTTTCTGTAGTCTATCCAGGCGGCGGAGAAGTTCCGACGGTTGCGTTTCACCACTTTGCCAATGACCGCGTCAATGAGGAGTGGTTCCTTGGTTCCACAACCACCGCCCCGACATCCATTTTGAGCGCGTGACATCACCTGATTTAGCTCCAGGTGACGAGTGAATCTCGCGCTCAAAATGGATGTCAGTGTCTTATATATGGTGGGTAGACACGTAATGGGGCGGTATTTGATCGGGTCTGTGGTAACCTGGTCTTTAGGAACCAAATGAGTGATCCCAGTAGTGAAGAGGCTAGGGAGCGACTTCTGGTTGAGAGCCTCTTGAAACTGACGGGCGAGCACAGCGTGACACACCATGAACCCCTTAAGCCAGTAGTGATGCAGTCCGTCGAGTCCCGGACTTTTCCAGTTCGGGGCTCTACGGACCGCCTCAGCTACGTCATCCGGCGTTATGATGACGGGGTCCATGGGCGTAATACTCGCACACTGACTCGCCACAACTTCCGTCCAAGGGCCCTCGCTGTGGTTTACGGGCTCTGACCACAGGCCACGCCAAAATGCGACAGTGTTAGCCTGATCCGGTCCTGTGCCCGCTCCACATACCTCTGGTCGCTCCAATGATTTGTAGAGCCTCTTCTGATCACTCTGGAAGAGACGATTCTGGTTGAACCGCCTTGACCTCTCGGTAAATCGGCGAATCCGCTTCCCCCAAGCGGCAATCTTTTGCTTCAGGTCGTCTATGCGCTCCGTTAGTTTCTGCGTGATATCCGGCTGGGACAAACTGATATTTGTCCCAGCAAACGCCATTCTAACGGTGCGCACAACCCTCGGTCTATTATTACCCGACCTGAAACTTATCAGTCTGCCGATAAGGGCCCTTGCCTTTGCGATACGGTCCTCAATTCTTTTTCTCCAGGCTGGGATGGCGCTACTTTGTTTAGTAGCGCGTCCAGCCATGGGAAGTTTGGCGCCAATAATACGGCAAGCTGCCACTGCGGCGCCAAAAAGAACTGAGTCCGTCTCGCAAAGGTCCCGGCTAGCTTCCAAATAGGTTACCAGCATTGGGTTAAGAGCCCTCACGACAGCTCGATTTCGCTTGCTTAGGGGTATGCGGGGAAGTCGCGGTCGATTTTCGAGAGGCATGCTGCGCGTTTCTAAAATCGCCTCTTCCAATATACTCCTCATTTGCTCTAGTTCGTGGGAGACCATTTCATCATCGTCTGAATCACCCACAACTGGAAGATCCATGGCGGCTTCTACGCGTGGCAGCTGGTCTGTCGCCTGAGGAGCCTCATCCCCAGCCGTAGCCAATTCATTCGATGAGGGAATGGCCTCACGTCGTAGTCGTTCGAGCTCGGCATCATCGAATATTAAATTATTATTATTATTATAAGTTGTGGTTCGCTGAAGCTGCAACCTAATGGACCATGATCTGAAATTTTTATGAAAAGAAGTGGCTGACGTCAATTATTATTATTCTTATTATTTTTTCATTACTGCCTTTTTCAACCTCACAAGATATTTGTAACTGCAAAAAAAGAAAACTACGTATAAGTAAGTAAATCAGTAATATAGTGTTATGTATGATTCAGACTAAATAAAGGTTCCTAAAAATAGACGTAGATAAAGAAATTGCATAAAAAATTACTCAAATAAAAATGCAATAAACTTGTTAATTTTATAGGTACTTAGTAAAATATTAAAATAATAAGTTTTTTTAGGATATTTATGTAAAACATAAAGGTTATATTATGTTCTAACTACGTTCACGCTTGCGCATATAAAACCGCGCAATTTCACTAGTTTTATTATCAAAATAATAATTGACAACCCTACCCTAAGTTTGCCTTGATTTTACCAACTCAAACTCGTTTTAGGAGATCAAAACATAGAGAGAAAGATAGAAAAGATTTAAATATGGTTGGATCTTTATTTATTTGTATATTTTTTGTATTTATTTTATTTTATTGATATTTATGTATATTTATCTTTTCATTTTAATTTATATTTATAAAAACCAACCAGATGAGAAACTATACAGATACCCCAATAATAATAATATAATAATAATAATATTCCACAACTATCACACAACGCCATCTAGTCCCAAGCTAAGCAGAGCTTGTGTTATGGGTACTAGACAACTGATAAACATACTTATATATTTCTAAATACATAAATATTATAGATAAATTACACCCAGACACAGAACAAATGATCGTGCTCATCACACAAACATTTGTCCTGGGTGGGAATCGAACCCACGACCTGCAGCATAGCAGTCAGGGTCACTAACCACTAGACCAACAGGCCTGACGATAAATAAAATAAAGTCTCTAGCTCGAGAGGAGAGGAGACGTGGTAGCTCAGATGGTTAGCGCTTGCTAAAATTTTCACAGTGTGCGAGCAAACCGGGTTCGATCCCCGCCGACACCAATAATATTGTAATTGCAATTTTAAGTGTTGATTTACCACGTGCTCAGTGGTGAAGGAAAACATTGTGAGGAAACCTGCATGTCTGAGAAATAAGAAAAAAAATATTTCGAAGACATTCAAAGTTCGCCAACACGCAGTGATAATTCCTTTCCTAGGACCCTTTCAGAAAATAGAATAAAAATAAAAAAATAATAAATCCAAACTTCATTTAAAACCAAACATATAAATTGTAAAGTAGCTGCAGGTATCTATAACCAAGTAAAAGATATTCTACTTAACTCCAACTTTCCCAAAACAATTTTTAATTAAGCTTTATATTATAATGCGGATTTTTTATATTTAAAATTTTAATAATATAGCATTTCGTACGTCTCAGCCGAGGCGCAAATATTTTTCGGCCGCAAATTTATAAGACCGATTTGTTATTCAAACATAAACATGGTTTTTAATTAAATCTACCAATCATAAAACGACACGCATTTTTATTGAACACTTCCTATTCAATTCACAAAGTACCTATTATATATTTGTTTATATAAAAAATTATATTTAAGTACAATCATAAAACTAAATGGAAACACAAAGTAGGAAAATGCATTGAGTTATAAAACACATAAATCAATGGGCAAATGTAAAAATGCTGGAGGCAGGCATCCCTATCGCATGTTTACGTACCGCACGGCTGTAATATTTATTTCTAAGATACGGCCGAGTTACAATATACCGTGACGTAAGCGCATCGGTTGGTAGGTACTCAAATAATATTATGTTTGCGGCGAAATACGGACGCGCGGCGACCAGCGACGCGGCCACCTCGTATAAACGCATACAGCGTAATGCCGCCCGCACTCTGCGCACGCCCCTTTATCATAGAAGTCACACAATTTTCGGAATTATTTCAATTAAAAGAGAAAAAACGAACTTAAAAATTTAAATAAAACGTGGAGAATATAGATTTTTTAATTATCTATCCATTAGTGTTATCCTCAAATGATTAGAGCGTTGCGTTTAGCAACAGATGCATGTAATCAAGAATTTTAGTCATTTTTTAAAAGTTGATTTTAAATGTATTTATAGCACATAAAAATAAATTAGAACGTGGAATGCGATGATAAGATATCGAACATTAATAATGTACTTTTAGATGTAGTTTATTTTTCATAACTAATGAGATAATAGAGTCTGAAAAACACACTTTCGCAACATTTTGGTCAGGGATTCACCTTAAGTCTGGTTATAAGATTACCTATACAAAATGTTTGTTTTTGTGTATTTAGTGCTAATTCGTTAAGAAATGGCCAAATAAATATCTCTTTCTTTCTTTCTTTCATTCACTAACCATACACTTACCATCTGATGAACTACGTGCTCGTTTGTCACCAAACTTCTTAATAATACATATACGATCATTATATTAATGAAAATATCCAATTTATTAACCTCGCTGACGTGGCATACATTCCCAGCTAAAACGAATTTTATATTCGAAGTTCATATTCATATATATAACATTTTTTTTTATCATTTTAGATTACATTATCGATGTAATCCACAGGTCACTCAAACCTAGTTCGTAGCTAGAACTATTTGTGCCGCTCGAGTCACACAGAAGAGTAGATAGTGCAACAGGAGGACACCGCATTAAAAATATATTTATTACAATATTTCTTCCCAGTACGGAAAAATTTTGACTAATTTATACCGTATATAATATATCCCGTAATTTTAATTACGAATCAGCCCATAGCTACTTATGTACTTTAATTTTACTCCCATTATAGTTATATGTCATATGGATAGTTACCTGTTGCACTGGTCTCTGTATATTGATGTAGGCGTGTCCCGTGCATTGTATGGCGTCACCGTTGTCCACCATGCCCGTATAAGACCGATGAAAGGATTCATTGTTCACCCTGAAATTTGCATATTCATTACAGCTCTTTGGCAATCAGTGTTCTTTCTTAAATAGAAATAAAATACATATAATATCAGTTGTATGTGTGTTGTATCGATTTTTTTTATAGGAGAGATGGCAAACGAGAATACGACTCACCTGATGGTAAGTGATTACCAACGCCTATAAACAACTGCAACACCAGGGGAATTGCAGGTGCGTTACCGACCTTTTAAAAAGGAGGAGGCTCTTTTCTTGAAGGTCCCTAAATCGTATCGGTCCGGGAAAATCTCTGATGGTAGTCCATTCCACAAGGAAGTTGTGCGAGGAAGAAAACTTCTTTTAAATCGCACGGTGGTGGACCGCCAGTAATCCAGAAGGTATGGATGGTATCGCGAGTTTTGTCGCGATGTACGATGGTGAAATTGGGCGGCTGGAATTAGTCGGAACAAATTCTCAGAGTACTCCCCGTGGTAGATGCGATAAAATACGCAAAGAGATGCGACATCTCTTCGCAGTGCCAGAGGGTCAAGCCGATCGGAAAGAGTTCGGTCGCCGACGATTCGAACAGCTCTGCGCTGGATGCGATCAAATGTAAGGAGCTGGCACTGGGGAGCCTCGGTCCAAAGATGAGAACAGTATTCCATGTGCGGCCGAACCTGCGCCTTGTAAAGTTGCACACGGTGAAACGGCATGAAATAATGGCCCGCTCTGCTGAGCATGCCAAGCTTTTTTGAGGCCAATTATGCCTTTTCTTCCAAGTGACCACGAAACTGCACGTCGCTCGATTTGTCGACGCCGAGTATTCCGACACCTAGGCAAAAAGGGGAGTGCCTTGAAACTGAGAAGATACGACGAAGGGGGTTTTTTTAGCAGTAAACGCGCAAACTTGTATCTTCTGGGGATTAAACTGGACTACATTTAATAGCCCCCAGTCCGAAACTTTGTTCAACAAAGTTTCAACTTCAGACACAAGTTTGTTCCGGTACTCTGCGACGTTTTCCCAAGAAATATTGGCACGGCCGATGTATAAAGCATCACCAGTGCTATCGTCTGCATAGCAATGAATGTTACCGGTTTGCAACATATCATTGATATGCAGAAGAAACAGCATTGGTGTTTGTTCAACAGCAGCCTAGTGGCACACCACCATTAATGGACTTGTAATCGGAGCGTGCACCGTCTACAACGACCTTGATAAAAGGGGAGACCTTGGGCCGGGCCAGTGTTCTGCCCGGGAAGTGAACGCTCCGTGTAGTAGTCTGGTTTCTGATGATAAAAGGGTAAATTTAAATCATTCTGCATCGTTACTTCCGTAACGATGACTCTTTACAACAATGTGCAGTGCATGTGGGTGAGTTGTCTAACGGCCGGCCGAGCAGGGGGTGCCGGGCCCCAGCGGCTAACTCGTATCGTTCGATGTACGGTGTGTACGCGGTGTGGAGGGATCGCCGCCATCCGTTGTCCTAACAGTGTTTGTGGCACTAGGTGAATCTGTAGTATCTGTGTGTGTGTCAGTCGGGCGACATTTGGGTCGTCGGAATCTAGCGGAACTGGGGGTTTGATTAGTACGTTACGGGGCCTCCGGAGACCTTCCTTAACGTTTGGAGTCGGACCGTAAGTGGCTGCGTTTACCACTAACGAGTTGGGATGCATCTCGGCCCTCTCAAAGTAGCGCCGAGTCATTTACTTGAAATAATCAAAGATTGTCGGAAGTTGACAATCTCTGTGCAAGACAGTTTCGCCGGTCCCACCGAGCTCCGATGGCTATGCAGATGAATCTATTTTGGATGACTTGGAGGTCGTACAAATGACTATGAGACACGTGCACGAAAGCTACGCTTGCGTAGGACATGATAGGTCCTACGCAGACTTTGTAAAGGTCGAGTTTGTGTCTTAGGGACAGATTGCTTGCAGTTGGAGACGAGTATTGACGAATTTGGCACGATTGCGGACATGGCGTAGTCGAATATGACCCCAAGGTATTTAACTGTTGTTTTCCACGGGTTCTGGGGGCCGAATATGGTGCTTGTGCCTGAATATTTTTTCGGTTTTAGCTTCCGACGACTGAGAGAGGGTTTCCTTTGAAAGTATACTTTTTTCAGGGTTTAATTCGATTCTCTATAAGCGAAACCATTCGCCTAAGCGATTGGCGGCTCTTTGGAGCATTGTTTTAAGAAATTTCTTGATGAAATAGGCGACGTAAAGTGCCGTGTCGTCTGCAAAGAGAGCAATGTTGACAGTTGGGTCCTTCGACGGTTCGACGGTTATCCGTTAAGTGGGAGAAGCCCTCCAGGATGTATTTCGTAAGGCGATGGATCTGATTGGTGCACGAGTGTTCGGGTCTCTCAGAATTTGAACCGAAAAAGTTCAAAACAAAAATTAATTTAAAACTGTATTAGCAGCTTGCAAATGTTTATAGTTCGGTGTTTCAAAGGTAAGGAACATGTAAAATAAAAAATAAACGAAACTTAACCGGTAAAATTCAAAACCGGTTCTACTCAAATGGTTGTAACAGCTCCATGTTATGTCCCCGCTGCAAGAGTGTTTTTGTAAAGCCGTAGGCGCGGAGGGAGAGCAGCCCCCGCCCGCCGTAGCAAATCGCAGGCACCTGTGCGGGCCGTAGCGGCTGAGGCTGGTCGACCAATAAGCCGAAGCTGCGGAGGTCAGCATGGGTGCCTGTGATTCGCTACGCAAGGGCGAAGGGACTGCACTTCCCGCAGCGCCGAAGCCCTTGTAGAAGTAACTTTGGGTCAATATTCCTGTGTAAAAAAGCGAGGTTATGATTTTACAAAAAAAAAATAACTCATAAACTGTACTTTTCCGCAAGGAAGGAAGGGTAGAGGGGCTTTCCCTGATAGGGCACACTCCTGCTACCCTATACCGCCCTCCTGCCGGAGACGATAAATGTTATCATTTTGAGGTTAGGTCGATGGGATTTTCTTTTTGATTTTTCTTAAGAACCGTGTATTACCTTTTAATGGGAGTGGTGTCGGAGGTAAGGGGACGCTCAACCCTTCCCCTCTCTTCATCCCCCCCCCCTCCTGCCAAACGATTCTGAATTTCAACCAATCCGTCTTATGTTTTCTAATAAATCATTTTATATTGCTACTTTGATAAAAAAAAATGTGTTGAAAAAAATTTACGTGGGAGTCCGGATGTTGATTTGGTACGTGGTCACGATAATTTCCGAAAAAAATCGACGTATCGAAACGGGGTGTTTTATTGTCTTCAGAATTAAATCTACTGTTTCCCTATTTCATATCAATGGTATGCGTAGTTTGTTAATAAAATAATTTTCAACTTTTATTAGTTTATTGCTATTAAAAATTTAAAGGCACTTTCATATTGTAAACCCTTGATAGACAAAGAACAAATGTACCATTCAGCCTATATCAGTTTTATACTTTATATTCAATTTTTTCCCTGTAGGTGACACTACCTGTTAAAATAGTAGTCAGGAATATATTTTATTTTTTCATTAAAATTAAATGAAACGCTCATGAGACGTGCTCTTTTAGATTTTCCAAATATTTTATTTTTACGCGTATATTTTTAATTTCAACGTTTTAAACCAATTTCAAGGTTCTACATTAGACGCGTTAGTTTTTTTGTAATGTTTGTTCACCGATTTCTCAAATACGTCTCATCGGTTCAAATTAACATTTTTTAATAAATATATGGTGGTTATTAATCCAAGAATTAAAAAATCTCTGAATTTTTCATCCTTAGGGATGGAATATTTGAAGAAAAAAGGCCACCCTTAAGAATGAAAAAATTAGGAAAGAATTATTTAACGTAACTATTCAGACGACATATCGGCTGTTATGTAGCTTTGAGCTTGTGCGATATTGCTTAGACCACTTAAAAGGAGTAAAAAATATTTAAAAAAGGGGTTTCATCGGGGAATTTAATTCTTATACAGACTATGTCATAGCACGAACTTAAGCAATTATTGGCAAATTATTTTATTGTTTTTATTATTTGAAGTCGGCTTTATTATTTTTTTTATTAAGTGCGAGCAGCTATGCAGATGTAGGGAAAGAGACCAGTATCATTGCAACCTAGAAGATCTATTGTGATCGCTGCTATGGCTATAGTTCACGGCTAAGCCCTATGTCTTCAATGAATAAGGAGTTGCTTAGCTGTGAGCAATTTCACTTCTTCTGGGCGGAGTACATAGTTTCCCAGATGAGTGTTACGTTTGCGCATTAAGGGTCCGCAATCAGTTAGGATGCGTAGAGGCGTTTCTTCCGTTATGGAACAGAACCGACACATCCATGAGTTGCTTAGTCCCAGGATGGACATGTGCTTTTTAAGACAACAGTGTCCAGTTAGGGCTCTTGCCAGAATGCGCAATTTATTTTTACTTAATCCCAGGGCTTTTCGAAGCGAATTTTCGTTTAAAAGCCCGGATTAAAATTTTTGGAATGTTTTAAGCCTGGTATGTCAGACCAGATCTTAAGTGATTTATTGTAATAAAGAGTTTCAAGGGTCAATCGGGCTAGGCTTCTTGAGATTCCACAAAATGACTCAGGTCCAAATTGTGTGCACTTTGAGCCCTCCCGTGCAAGTTTGTCGGCAAATTCGTTGCCTTCAATACCCTCGTGACCCAGAACCCATCTTAAAACGACCCTGTTGTTATATCCCAGGGCGTTTAAACGGTTCATGTTGTCTCCAACTAGCTTCGAGTTCACTAAGTTTGACCTCAGCGCTAGCAGTGCTGCTTGACTATCAGATTTTATGTAAATTATATGGTTGACGTAGTGTTTTTGCAGATTGATTTCTGCACACCGAAGTATGGCGAAAATTTCTGACTGAAAGATAGAGGTGTATCTACCCAAATTCATGCTAAGTTTGAATTTAGGGCGTTCCCCGTAAATTCCAAAGCCTACGTACTACGAGGCTACCGAACTCACAGATAACCTGACCATTCAGCCAGTCTTCTCTGGAGGGTAATTCCACAGTATACTTTTATCAAAAGTGTGTAGTGGACGCATGATATCTGAGATCATGCATAAGACCGGTGATTCCATAATTGAGTCGAGCATGGATCTCAATCTGTAGGAGAGCAAGCTCAGACCGCCCTGGGCGTTAATCCTATACAAACTGGCCCTCGCCTCCTTGTCTAGATAGAGATGTTATCTCTATCTAGATATAGAAGTGCATTAAGAGCCGCTCCAGGCGATGATCGCCTAGCTCCAGTTCCCATTAAGCAGGCAGTCCTTTGTAGACTATTTAGTCTGTCCACAGTCCTCTTTTGGTTGGCCTTGTTACACCAGACAATAGAGGCGTAGGTGAGAATTGGCCTCACTATGCTGCTGTACAGCCATAGGACTATACTGGGTCGCAAGCCCCAGTTGTTCCCGACCAAACGACTGCACGATCCTAAAGCAATTTTTGCCTTATGGCATACGTTGCTAAGGTGAGAGTTCCACATTAGTTTTTGGTCGATTGTTACGCCCAAGTACTTAACTTCCGTGGAAAATGGTACTTCTTTACCATTGAGTTTTGGTTGGACTAACTTGTCCAACCGTCTCTTTTTGGTAAAGGGTCATCAGATAATGCTGATAACAGTTTTATCAGCTTTAACTGATAAACTGTTCGCGTCGCATCACCCATCTGATGGTTGTGGGTTCAACATTTTTAGATGTTAGGCCCCCAATCAGCAGTGATGTGGGGCTACTATCGAAGGCGCCCTCAATATCTAGAAAGGCACAAAGAGCTATTTCTTTATCCTCCAGTGCTTTTTCGACCCTGTCAATAACACTGATCAGGGCTGTTTCCGTAGATTTGCCTCTGTGGTAAGCATGCTGGTTGTAATGTATGGGCCTCGTAGCTAGAGCTACATCCCTTATATATCTAATAACCTTTTCCAATGTCTTAAGGAGAAAGGAAGATAAACTTATAGGTCGAAAGGACTTTGGTAAAGCGTAGTCCTTTCTACCAGCCTTAGGTATAAATAGACAATTCCAGAACGATGAACATTTGACAATTGTTCATCGTTCTGGAATATATCCTCAGGCAAAACTTGCTCTGAAGATGTTCACCAGATAGGGAAGAAGGATGTCAATACCCATCTGCAGTTGGATGGGAATTATTCCATCCTCCCCGCTTGTTTTAAATGGTTTAAAGAAGTCAACAGCCCATTGCACCAGGTTTGGCCTTAATATCTTTGCAGCCCACACCAGTCCTCATTACAAGGCCTTCGTATGGCTCTGAAAGAATTTAAGGGTGAGGTCTTGAGTGCCTCTGGGAAATGGGTTGACGCTAGTAACTCCAATGTTTCTGTTTCACTATTAGTGAAGTTACCATCAGGCTTTTTAAGAAGCCCGATCTGGTTAGGTTTCGGTTTTGATAGCATTTTGTGTAGTCTTGCACTGCGAGGCATAGACTCAACTTCCTCACATAGCTTCCTCCACGATGCTCTCTTGGTTTTCCTAACTTCTTTATTATATTCAGTTAGGGCTGCACTATAAATATCCCACTCTTTGGTTTTCTAAGCCCTAATAAATAGTCTCCTGGTCTTTTCCCTAAGTTCTTTTAGCTTAGTATTCTACCAAGGAACTTTTCGTGTTGAGGTCTTGGTTTTGATGGGACAACTTTCCTCGAAGGCTTCACGAATACCTACGGTTACGGTCTCCGTCGCTAACTCCAGCAAACTGCTTTTAGGAAACATTTCCAAATTCCTCCTTAGGTTATCTCTATATATATCCCAGGAGCTTTTGGATCCCTAAAAGTAACGGTTTCAAAGGATGGTGATGCTCCAATCACAAACTTAATGTGCTTGTGTTCAGACATCAAGCTTTCACTACTAACATGCCAGTCATTTATCCTCCTGGATATGTTATAAGTAGCGAAGGTTATGTCTAACACTTCTTGCCTAGCTCGCGTAACAAAGGTTGATGTACAACCTAGGTTTAGGCTTACCAGGCGGTTGGAGATGAGAAAATCATAGAGTAGCTCACCTCTTTCTTTGATGTTAGTGCTTCCCCAGGCTGTGTGGTGACCCCCCCGAACGGGTTCCCGCCTTGTCGTGGCGGGGGGGCTTAGTAGCCGTGGCTTGGTCTCCCACGGTGAACAAAGAGGAACCCACGTGGCTGGCCCTGAGGTGAAGGGCCGGCCTGAGGTGGCCACTCCGAGTGGGCTTGGGGAGCCCACTTCGGATGTGTGCTGGTGGACTGCAGCGAGTAGGGACTCCGCACCCTCTACCGCTGCAGCCGAGGTGGAGTCGCGGAGGAAGAGGAGTGTTGGTATGGCGATGCGCCACTCGCCCTATCCTCCGCGACTCAAACGGGGCCGCACCGTTGATGCGGTGGTGATGGGGCTGCGGGGGGAGAGGATTGTCGGTATTGCGAGGCGCCGCTCCCCCAATCCTCCGCAGCCGAATCTTGGTTGGCGTCGGAGCCATAGACCAGATCCGCCGCTGGGGTCGGGAAGGCTAGTACTTCTAAGTGCTCATTTTTCCTGGCCCCATGGCCTTCGCGCATCGGACGCGGGGGCGTCTGTTGCGCAGATGCAATTGGAGGCCGTGGAGGAAGGCGTGCCATGTGTTCTGGTGCGCCTTACTTGGGAAGGAGAACGGGGAGGAATATTCCTTTCCCGAGGAGGTGCTGCCATGGGGCGGCAGTCGCTGGTAGGGCCGCGGAAGTGTGCAAAGCGTTCCCGTAGCCCAGCCAATATGCGACGAAGGTGGAACACCATGGGGTTTTAGTCGGTGCGAGTCCGACATAACCCGTCCTTGCCCCCGCGAGGCGGGTATGCGTAGGCATTTCCCCATGTTAAAAAAAAAAGGCTGTGTGGTGAGCATTAGCATCACAACCTACCACAAGTTCGGCGTCGTGTTTTCGGGCGAACTCCGCCACTCGCTCTAACTTGATGATAGGATCTGAGTTCTCTCCGGGAAGATAGGCTGAGCAAATGATTACTCTGGCCCCTGTGCACCCCTTAAGATTTATGAAGGCTGTAACCAGGTCATCATTGCAGTACTCTGGAACAGCTAAATGTTCAATATTTTTATTGTAAATTATACAAGCTTTGAGTCAACTGCCTTTAGTATTGACAAGAATCTTACCGGCAGCCGACAATCCCAGAACTTGACCGTTGGCCACCCAAGGCTCTTGTATGAGGGCGAGGTCAATATTGTCCTCTGCAAAGCAAACCTCCACCACGGCAGAAGCAGCTGCTGCATGGTGGAAGATTTGCCTGGAGGACCCTCGTCTTACCCTTTGGGTTAGTCATTTATGGGCGTGGGGGGGCAGGGGTCTTCTCCGCCAGTTGAGGACGAAGACGTCCTTGACCGACATTCTTGACCCCCGCCTTACCTTTCGTTGTTCCGCTCCAGCGGAGCCCGTTGGACCGAGGCGAGATCAGCGCCTTGGGTCTTCGTCACTCTCACTGATGGCGTTCCAGTCTCACCTCGAGAGGTGGAGGGCTGGGGCTTTAACTTTTTAATTAAAAAAAATTTCTTCATAAGCATTTCTTTTGTGCACTTCAAATATTACAGGTACTTGATTAAAAGTTTAGACGTGAAAAATATGTGTATTGTTTTCATATTTCAAAATGCAGAGGATCTATGCGCTTTTTAGGAGGTAAAATCAGTTAAATAACTGTTTTAGTATATGAAGTTACCACTAAAAACTCGATTGTATCTACAGTGTTTAATCATTCGTTTCATGATTCATATTAAAGAAAGTTAAGGATTTACACGATGCAAAATATTTTTCAGAAACACGATTCCTTTAAATTTTTTCGATAGAAAAAAATTCCATAGTTACCTCGTGATTTTCAGAAAAATAAACTAGAAATCATTAAATTATTCATGCGAGGTTACCAGATTTTCAATAATAGTGTAACCATAAGACACCTACGCAAAATATTTTTAAATTTTTATAAATTAAATTTGGTTTGAAAGGAACAAGAAATACCTAAAATGTACTCTCGCCTAGCCACCATATCCTGAGCCACGACCCTTCTCTCCCCAATCACACACCAAGCTAGTCCAGCTTCAGCATCGGAGGGGAAACCTGCGTCACTTGCTTGATTGGAGTGCATTTTAGTGATTTATAACAATGGGAAATAAATTAAATTTACTAAGGAAAAAATGGGTTTGCGAAAAAAAATATGTTTGCGGTATCTAAGTTAGTACTTTCTTAGTCATTTATTTTCTTTTGGTTCCCGGAGGTTTAGTAAAATAATAAAGCACAATTTTTAAGAAACCCCGCGCACCCCTCAACGAAATCTCGTGGGCGCGGGAGCTAAATCGAAATTTGACCTCAGATACTATTTCCTCTTAAAGGTTAAGGAAGAACCATACAAAAAACAATGAAAAAATAGATAAGACATAATAATTCAAAAATAACATAATATTCATGTTTCATTGATAAAAAGTAGTAAAAAAATACGTAAAATTGGACAAACCTAATAGAATCCGATCGGCATTGAGCAACTGCCTCATCATATGGAGGAGGAGCCTCGCCACGTGGTAGGTAGTTACTTGGTGGCTTCCAAGCACCCAAAGCAGTCTCGCATGTCCCACCCATATACCCCATACTACCACTTATGTATCTGAATCAAGTAAAATAATCATTAATAATGTTACTACTATTATATTACAAGTAAAAATTTTAAGGTATAACATATCATGTTTTTTTTTGCTTGCTTAATATTTTTCTTGTGAAAATTAAACTCACCAAATAACAAACAAAAGCAAAAAGTAATTGTAACATTCTTACATTCACAATAGATTATAATAAACAAATTGGGATACTTATACATAGGACATGCACAGAAAACAAAAATAGTTGTTTAATTATAATCATTGTTAATACAGCCCACTGTAAGTCCACTACTGAAAACAGACCTTCTGCACAGATTGCCATAAAGGATAGTCCTGAACCACTAGCACCCATCGATTAGTTGCAGCTGCTACCTAGTGGAGGAGTATAGATAAATAAATAACGACAAGGTGTTTTCCCTAATTGCATGTCTAAGCGCTTATTTTGCGTGTGGGCAGAAATCATGTAATTATTTGAGCTATGAAACCCCTCTGAAGAAGTTCAACAGTCCTTTAATAGTTGTGGCAACTTCAGAGATTGATTCCAGCGTGCCAAGATGTTTAGCTGTCTACGCAGCGACCTCCGGACATTACAGCAACACATGGGCTGCCATTTTTACCTCCCCCATACATACCCTGCACAGGGGACTATCTGTAACATATATCCCATCAAAAACATAAATGTGAAATGAGAGCCAAGTTCAATATTATGATATATGCCTTGGTTATTGACTTCAACGACAAAAGAAGTGAGATCTAAATGGGTGCCAAGTTCAATGGTCAGCCCTGAAATTTATTTATAACAACATAAAATATCGTTTCTTCTTATAACTTAGGATAATATATTGTAGCCTAAGGTCTGACTTGGCTAGTTCTCATATACGAATTATATTATAGCCTTCGCATATGAACTTGGCTCTCATTTCACATTTGTGTTTTTGATGGGAGATCACTACTTTTTGTACATAAATTATTAGTAGGTACTTATTTATAACAAAATTAATGCCAAATGGCTTTTGTTAAACTGCTGTATTTTCTACATTTACAGGGTATACAGTGAATTTCGGTTATAACGACGGCGGAGGGACCACTTTAATGTTGTCGGTATATCCGGAGGTCTCTATATCCGAAATAATAAAAAGTCATGTACATAATATTTACTTATCATTTATTTAATTATGTTACACACGGGTGTAATTGCAAAAACGTGTTATAGTGCACTGTTTAAGTTTAGTTTTTTGTGCATGCTGTAAGGTGTATTCCATTTACATAATTCCTTCAACATCTAAATTATTTCGGCCTGCACCAAATAAACAGTACTTTTGAGCGTTGTTATAGCACATAATGCATCTCTATTTGTTGGAATCTCATTTAGATTGCAATCTTCTTCCTCTTCTTCATCCTCCTTTTCTTGTGTTTGAAGAAAAAACAAAGGATAAGAAAGCTTAATAATTTTATGAATGAGTCTTTGTACCTATACGGACTCAGTCGCAATATCAGCAAGGGATTTCTAGGAATCGGTCATAAATGGTTCATAAAAACAAGTCGCTATACTTGAAATTGACGCTATAACCGAAGTCGCTATTACTGAATGAATTTCTTACGAAAGTATGCTTTAAATTCAAGGGACGTAAGTTTTACATCGCTATAACCAAAAATTCGTTACAACCGAGGTCGTTATTAATGAAACCCACTGTAATTGTCTTTTTTTGTGTTATTTTCTATATTTTCTTGTATGTTTGATATGTTTGAGTGAATTTCCCATTCAGTATCCGGAATTTTTTTTCACGCATTTTCTGTTTATACTTAATTTGGCCAAGTTGAGGTGGTATAACGTGCACAGACAGTTGTACTCTACAATAGAGCTCTCTTGTGACTTGACTTGGATCTAAATTGATAAGATGTACTCCATCATCTCAGGTTTTAGCTCTAGAGAGTCCTGTAACGTAAGCCTGCCCTTTACTAAATATAGAGGAGCCTATGTCGAGAAGAGCACTGTCCAAGCTAAGGCCTTGTGATTTGTGGATAGTAATAACATATGCTAAGCAAATAGGTAATTATTCCAATGGAACATATACATTACTTAATATCTGAAACGGCGATAGCATGGAATAGGCAGCTTCCATCGGGAAGCATTGGAATAATTCGGTGTAAGGTAAGTGTGTCACCCACCCGTAATTCTATTGTAGGGCTCATTGTACAATATACATAATAAAAAGATAATTATTTAAGACGATTACATTACAAATTACCCTGTTATCTATTGAATTCTCAAGAAATTTTTTACCATACCAATAAAGTCTCATTCTCACTCATTCAGAGTTAGGTATACATACCTACTTATAACTATACTAAAATTATTATTAATTTTTGATTTAAACTATTTCCTATACCATCTAGACACGTGGACACACACATCAATACTTACTAAAATAATTGTAATAATAATATAACCACAAATATATAAGTATTTTTTAAGAAAACCTATTAATTTCGTAGCATAAATCGCCACCTCATATAGGTCAGATATCGAGAGACAACCGGACAGCATAACGGCGCTCGCGTTTATGAGCGCTGCTGCCAGTGCCACCTGCCACTCGCTCGGACCTCGGACACGTTCGCGTCACGGTTTTATCGCACCGCTCCCACCCCGCTCCTCCGGCGGCGTACCGCGCGCTGTGTACATCTTCCTAATAGAATCAATTAAGTGAAAAATTATAATAAAATGATAAAATTTCTCAGTTTCTGATTTATTCTTTTGTATTCACCTAATTACCTATCTGCATGCCAAATTTGAACTTTCTAGGTCATCTGGAACTGGGTTAGAGTTTTGATCAGTCAGTGACAAAAATGACGATTTTTAGACGTTAATATCTAAATAACCGTTTGAGATGTGTTTACGAAATTTGAAGTACAATATATATATGAAATATATGTATATATATATATATATATATATATATATATATATATATATATATCTCTTGCAAGTCTCAATATATGTGCCAAATTTGAAACGTTTATGTGAAATAGTTTTTGAGTTATGAGGGGGTCAAAAGTGGTGCACACGGTGCGGCTCGCCATTCTGCTTGAACTTGGCTTGACATGCTACCGCGTGTCTAGATGGTAAATAAATGTTTGTTAAAAGAGCCATGTCTTGTGATAGCATGTGTTACTATCCTGTTCTGTGGCTTGTTCAATATCATTAGAACCTTGGTTAAATATCTGTTTATTTCAGGCAGAACCACCCTAGCTTGTCTACAGTTTACATAGTCCTCTTTTGGCCAGTTCGTCTGCTGCATTGTTGCCCCTGGATCCACTATTTTATTATTTATTCATTGCAGAGTCACATTGTTGTGTTTATATACCTTATTTAGTCGTTGATAGCATTCATATATTAGTCCCCAAGTTTACCCCATTGCAATTCAGAGCTTGTAATACCCCCATGTTGTTGGTCAGTATTCTGGTGGTGAAGTTGTCTACCTTCCTGACATCGAGTGTTTTGGCCGCTTGGATGATACCTATACATTCTGCCTGAAAGACAGCGTTGTGGATACCCAGTGGAAGATGATATTATATATAAGCTATGTTTGCCACTTTAGCTTAGCCATTTGGAGGTTGTTTAGTTCTGTAGCTGTTGTAAGATTCATGTCATTTCTAACAGTCATAGTTTTTGGCAGATGTTAATACAACCAAGTTGTTTACGTCATATGTTTTATGGCAAGACCTCGCAACAAAAAAGGCCTGAGTCCAGTAGTTGACTTTTATGGGCTGGAAATGAAAGACTTCAGCTTACTGATCAATTGGGCTTCATTAAGCACCCTGATTCTACTGTGGATAACCTCGTAATGTTATCTAAAGTAATAAAAGTATATTAACCCTATACTAGTGAGACTGCGTTGGTCATCGGGACGCGGTGGACGTCGACGCTTGTGGGTGCGCACGCGGTACACTACGAGCGCGACGGTAACCAGCACCAGTGCGGCCGCACCACCCGCCGCCATGCGAACATTCGCCTCGCCCTCAGTCCGCTTCACCACGTCATCCAGGCAGATGAATTCACAACAAGTGTTCCCCACACGAAATGATCGACAATCCTATGACACAGACTCGAGAGCATTAGGGGTGATCATTCTTGAAATAGAGAGTACAGGTGGAAAGCTACACAAGAGGGCTAACACCACACAGAATAATTTAAGTTGTATATGTCTGAGATGTACATATAGTACACATAACATGGTGTGTTTAAGGCTGTAGAGGCTAATAGCTAAATCTTAATATATATAAATTATGTGTCACGTGGTTTGTCCGCGATGGACTCCTAAACTACTTCACCGATTATAATCAAATTTGCACACAGTGTTTTGTTTGGCCCAACTTGAGAGATAGGATAATTTTTTTGTCCATGAGTGACCCAAAATTTTTGTTTTTGACATTTAATCATTTTTAATAGGACATGACACGGTCGTCGAAAAGGGCAAAACAATGTCTACCTGGCAAGCTAGTAATGTATATAAAAAGGTATATTACACTCTTTTTTTTGTGCAATAATTCACCAGTACATAATGCACTCGGCTGACTGAAGTAGGAGGCTATGACAACCAAATAATAGTGAAAAATACATTCAGACAAAACACTCATAATATTATGTACAATGATTCAGTAGGAATAGTTCGAGTAAGGATTGATCCAGATATATTTGGAAAAAATGTGTTTAAATGACAAACCAAAAATATGAGCTTTAAATGATTGGCCAAATTTATCAACTATTTACTTTCTAGTTTATCATATACTTTACATGAATTAAATGGCCGTGACCTTTTTTAATTTTTATTAATAATGTTAGTCCTTTTCAATCATTTAACAAAAAAAAACATGAATTCAATAATCGAGGTTGCTGTTTCTGGCCCTTAGCCAAGATGAAATTTGGGGTAAATAACAATTTTGTATAAAAAGGCAAATTTTGTATAATTAATAACACATTTCGGTAAATTAAATAAGGATTTTGCAATAAACAACACTTACCTGTGGTGGAGAGCACAAAACTGCCTTGCATACTTTGGGAAGACCATTATCGCAAACACAGAGGGTACAGGTGTCCGGTCCGGGTGCATAATGAAAACCATGAGAAATAAGCCTTCCACGCAAATCTGTGCACTCTCCTTGTGCAGCAATGCCTGGAATAATATTAACCAAGTTCAAGACAAAAAAGCACTAAAAACCGTTAAGTTTCACAGGATTCTTTAGTTACTCACTATAAAAGTGTACACTTGATAAACAAAAAAGAACTATTTCCAACATTTTATTCTAATATGAATTTAATTCATTTAGCTCAGCCTCATTTTTAATCTAGAGCTTTTGTCCCATATATTTCAAATCGATAATACGTTCGCTTATTGTGACAAATCTTTATAAAAGATAAGGACGGACATAAAATTGATCATGCGTTCTTTTCCGATGTTTCGAGTTTGCGCCTGATGTTGAATGTTGATTGTTGATGTTGATGTTGTTGTGGTTGTGGTTGTGGTTGTGTGTGGCGTAGACAGATTCTCTGATTCTCTGTCTACGGCATAGATTATCGACTACATAGATTACCGTAGACAGAGAAACCTATAGATTACTGACTATAACTATGTACTAATCGTAGACAGAGAAACCTATAGACTAATGATCGGCGTGGCCTTGAGTGAGAAAGGATGATAACGAATTTTTAGGTTATACAATAATTTTTATGACTTTTAAACACATTTAGAAAAAAAATTTAATTGTTCTAAGAACTGAACTGAACAAGATTCACCAATCTTAGGCTCACAAAACACTTTTTTCTCACTTAAACCAACTTGTAAACTCCTTAAATCGCTACGCTTTCAAAGTTGTTTAGCAAACTGTAGAGTTTGGTGAAAAAACCGGCATGGTGAAAGGGACAAACAATCACACCGCTCTATCTCATTTCTATGCAAGACGTATGCATAAATCTATCTTTTTCGTGTGCGAATGCGAAAGAAGGCGTCAATTTGTCTATAAGTTTCTCTGTCTACGGTACTAATAGAGAGTCTACGGTGTGAAGTGTTGCCAGATGCCTTGAACCTTTTATCTGTATTAGAAACTGCTAAAATCTGTGTTAAATCTGTATACTATTTAAACTTAAAATCTGTATAAAATCTGTATAATATAATAAACCAAAATAGAATAATTGATCATCATCATCATCATTGCTTCTTTTGAAAAACAAGGAATAACTACTAACGTGATAACGTGTTATTAATTTTTTTTTATAGAATAAGAGTGACACAAGAGCACACAGTACACAGATGGTAAGTGAATGCAGTGGACCATACATTTTTCCTCGCTTAAGACTCAAAACGCAGATGAGTTGTCACGCCTGAGGGCTAAAATGGAATGATTCGTTTCCAGTAAAAAAAGGTGTCCGGATTTCCACACTCACCATAAGAAGCACAGCAGTATTAAGCTGGTATTTTACGCTTGTATTCTGTGAGAGTGTGGTCCTTCCCCGGTCGAGCTGACTCATTGCGCGTGGCTCTACCAAGTATAAAATATACACTAAATTTTTATATAGCAAAATTGAACACATTAATTTAAGCAAACAACGCATTAAAACTCAAATATTTGCAAAAAACGAACATATAATTTATTTATTATTTTTAGTCATACATATTTTATATATACATATTATATAATACACTTGTAATTCTGCCTTACTAACTAATTACGTTGTGAAAACATAAATTAACCATAAAGAATAGAATCATGCAATGATGTGTGTAACGCGGTATCTAGTCACTTATTTTGCTTCGTTCTGTTTTAAGTTGAATATTATGGTATTACCCCATCAACAGAGTTAGAAAACTCTGTATAAAAATCTGTATCCAGTGCTAATCTGTATCACACACCGAAAATCTGTATAAATACGGGGAAATCTGTATATATGGCAACACTGACGGCGTGTGATAAATATTTGTGATAGCTGTCAAATAGGGATGTTCACTTAACATCGATTGATCGAATTTATTCGATATTTTTCGTACGATATATCGGATTGATTCGATGTTTTGACAAATATTTATTGTATCCGATCAATATATTTATTAATTGAAACATCGTGTTAACTCAAAGAAAGAATTTTAATGTAAATAATATGTACTGACGACGCAATCTACTTATTCAATTAATGTTTGTAGTGATCACTTCATATTACAGTTTTTGTATTCACGACACTTAATTACACTGAGACTAACTCCCCCGTGCTATCAGAACAGAACCTCTTATAATCGCGATGCACCCTATTTTATAACATTTCCCTTCCCACTTCTCTTAGGTTGCATTCGAAGAGGGGTGGACCGGTGTTGCCAGTAATAAAGTTGCCAACACTGCCATCCTGCATGGTTCCTGTCCCAGGAACCTCACGAATCTATTTAAAATACTGAAATGACATCAATTGATTATAAAGAAACTTTTTTATAAATAAATATTACAAAGCGGTGCACATCAATGGCCATTTTTTGTTATTTTTTCATGACGTAAGTAGTCGAAGTTTACAATCAAGTTACCCGTTTTTTAAATAAACTTGAGAACAATTTTAAGACCACTTGCGCTTAAAGGAGCTTGTCACACTTAAGAGACCAGATTCGTCGGCTGCTGGAATCACTTACATCTAAAGGACATTTAGTCTCATTTAAATGTACCAAGAACATTTCTGTTGTCTGCCGGAATCACTTGCATTTAAAGGACATTTAGTCTCACTTAAATGTACCAAGTTCATTCCAGTTAAATCTGCTAGAATCACTTGAATTTAATGGACATTTAGTTTCACTTAAATGTACAAAGTTCATTCCAGTTGTCTGCCGGAATCACTTGCACTTAAAGGACATTTTTTTTATTATGTGCGAGCAGCTGTGCAGGCCTAGGTAAAAAGACCAGTATCACTACGACCTAGAAGATCTATTGTGATCGCTGCTATGGCTATAGTTCACTGGTAAGCCCTATGTCTTCAATGAATCGAAGGAGTTGCTTAGCCGTGAGCAATTTCACTTCTTCTGGGCGGAGTAGATAGTGTCCCAGATAAGTGTTACGTTTGCGCATTAAGGGTCCGCAAACGGTTAGGATGTGTAGAGGCGTTTCTTCCGTTACGGAACAGAACCGACACATCCTTAAGTTGCTTAGTCCCAGGATGGACATGTGCTTTTTAAGACAACAGTGTCCAGTTAGGGCTCTTGCCAGAATGCGCAATTTAATTTTACTCAACCCCAGGGCTTCTGAAGCGAATTTACGATCAAAAGCCCGGATTAAGGTTTTAGAATGTTTTAAGCCTGGTGTGTCAGACCAGATCTTAAGTGATTTATTGTTATAAAGAGTTTCAAGGGTCAATCGATCTAGGCTTTTTGAGATTCCACAAAATGGCTCGGGTCCAAATTGTGTGCACTTTGAGCCTCCCGTGCAAGTTTGTCGGCAAATTCGTTGCCTACAATACCCTCGTGACCCGAAACCCATCTTAAAACGACGAAATTCCCTTTGTAGAAACCAAAAAAAAAGACATAATTTATTTATTTACTATTTATTAAAAGTAAATCAATTGCTATAAAAATCAGCCTGTATACGAAAAGCGCACACTCTACTTAATTATTTTAAGGATAGTATATCGTACCGTACACACTCATCGCGGTAAAATAATGAAACATGTTTACCGTTATGTAGCTAATACAATTTAGAATGGCTAATTAAATGTTGAATATTATAAGAATGTGTGTATAAAATAATTTTCGTGTTGAATATTATAAGAATGTGTGTAGAAAATTAATTTTACAACCCAGGGCGTTTAAACGGTTCACGCAGTCTCCAACTAGCTTTGAGTTCACTAAGTTTGATCTCAGCGCTAGCAGTGCTGCTTGACTATCAGAGTTTATGGAAATTTTATGGTTGACGTAGTGTTTTTGCAGATTGATTTCCGCACACCGAAGTATGGCGAAAATTTCTGACAGGATTATAGAGGTGTATCTACCAAAATTCATGCTTAGTTTGAATTTGGGCCGTTCCCCTTAAATTCCAAAGCCTACGTCGAGGCCCATTTTAGACTCATCGGTATCCCATATGAGACCGATAACCTCACACACAGATAACCTGGCCATTCAGCCAGTCTTCTCTGGAGGGTAATTCCACTATATACTTTTTATCAAAAGTATGTAGTGGACGCATGATATCTGAGATCATGCATAAGACCGGTGATCCTTAATTGAGTCGAGCATGGATCTCAATCTGTAGGAGAGCAAGCTCAGATCGCCCTGGTCGTTAATCCTATACAAACTAGCCCTCGCCTCCTTGTCTAGATAGAGATCAAGGGGCGTTAGGCATAGAAGTGCATTGAGAGCCGTCCCAGGCGATGATCGCATAGCTCCAGTTGCCATTAGGCAGGCAGTCTTTTGTAGACTATTTAGTCTGTCCGCAGTCGTCATTTGGTTGGCCTTATTACACCAGACAATAGAGGCGAAGGTGAGAATCGGCCTCACTATGCTGCTGTACAGCCATAGAACCATACTGGGACGCAAGCCCCAGTTGTTCCCGACCAAACGACTGCACGTACCTAAAGCAATTTTTGCCTTACGGCATACGTTGCTAAGGTAAGAGTTCCACGTTAGTTTTGGTCGATTGTTACGCCCAAGTACTTAATTTCCGTGGAAAATGGTACTTCTTTGCCATTAAGTTTTGGTTGGACTAATTTGTCCATCCGTCTCTTTTTGGTAAAGGGTATTATTATAACAGTTTTATCAGCATAACTGATAAACTTATCCCTACACCAGTTATTTATGGTGTTTAGGGCTCTTTGTATTATTGACGATAAAGTACTTTGGCAAAATATCACAAGGTCATCAGCATAACCCAATGTGTCAATGCGTAGGTCTGCCATTTTGTACAATAGTTGGTCAACCGCAAGAGTCCAAAGAAGGAGTGACAAAACACCTCCTTGTGGGCAGCCTCTTGTGGTTGCAACCTCAATCGAAGTTTGAAACAGCGCTATTTTTGCCTTTCTGTTTGAGAGCATCGACTTCACCCATCTGATGGTTGTGGGGTCAACATTTTTAGATGTTAGGCCCCCAATCTTCGGCTACTGTCGAAGGCGCCCTCAATATCTAGAAAGGCACAAAGAGCTATTTCTTTCTCTTTCTTTGTCTTTCTGTCAATGACACTGATCAGGGCTGTTTCCGTAGATTTGCCTCTGCGGTAAGCATGCTGGTTGTAATGTATGGGCCTCGTAGCTAGAGCTACATCCCTTATTCTATCTATAACCT